ACATAGGATTACTGTTTTTTCTAATTTCACGGATATGATGTCTACCTATTTCGATTAAGTGATAAGCCTACCAAAAGTTTACAAACTCCAGTGTTACGTTGACGCAGTCTCGCAATGACGCCCTAATAATCAGTGGCAGATTCAAGTGGGGCTGAGCCGGCCCTAATTTTTTCAAAATTATTTTTTTTAAATGGAAAAAAAACAAAGCAAAATTAGAATTAGAATTTAGGTCTGAGAGTGCCATTTCCGGCAATCTAGAGGTGTCATAATCATAAATTTTCTTACCTCAGCCCCAACCATGGTGGGGCTTAGGTGGTAGTCCAGCTACACTCTCCATCTGTAAAAGTCCCTCTCTGGGCCCAGCTCTATTTCAAATTACTGGATCCGCCCCTGGATATTTTAAAAATTTTGTATGGAAATAAATGTTAATTGCATTGCTTAAAATCAATTAAAAAGCTATATGCGCCAGAGCTTCCGGTCCCCAACCATTGCTTGGGCCTACGGCCCAAGGCTTTATTTTTCATCTCGTCTCCCCACTTTCAGCCACGGAAATCCGTGGCTGAATTTTTACTTTCAGCCACGGATCGACGCCCTTGGGTTAGAGGCAGGTATTTAAACGTTTGTATGATACACTGAACATTTCGTGTCGAGAGAGTTGTTCCAGTTTAGTTTTTTCTTGATTGCTTGTCGTCGGATACTACAGTACTACATTTAAAACATATTTTAAGGGGAATTCTTTTGTCGTCTGAGGTTCTCCTTAACATTGTCAAATTTTATCTTTAGGGACAGTATTTTTATTATGGAACTGTTTTCACCCTCTTCATTGTCTTATGTTCCCCATGGCAACCCTTTCACCATTATTTTTAAAGAATGGAGTGGAATTTCAGAAAATGTCATCAAAATTTTAAGGGTGGTGCACAAAATTCTAAAGGGTGGATACAAACAATTGCTGTTTTAGTACATAGCAAGTGACACACTAAGTTTGTTTATTGACCTTGCATTTGCATTAATATTTTTTTGAAGCGTGGTTCCAATATTTTAAGCATGGCGTATAATTTGCCTTTTTAATATTTTTATTTATATTATGTTGTTTCTGTGAGTATCCTACGTGAAAAGATATTTTTATCTGCCATTAAAGATCCTAGTTAATCGTTTTTCATATTATTAATTTATTTACATATATTCTTGTTATAATAATGA